TCCCAAAGTGCTGGGATTACAGACTTGAGCCACCGCACCTGGCCAAAATTTTTTAAAAAATCAACTGGTCATGGTGGCATGAGCCTTTGGTCCTAGCTACTCAGGAGGCTGAGGTGGAGGGATCACTTGAGCCTGGGAGGTTGAGGCTTCAATAAGCCATGATCATGCCACTGCACTCCAGCCTGGGTGACAGAGCAATAAGTCAATCTGACTAATAGCAGATTTTGTCTGTATCAGGCAAGTTTCAAGACTTCTTACATTGTGCCTCAGTTTCATATAATACCAGTATAAGATAAATATGCCAAACCACTTCAAGAAAAGTCATATTTCACATAATCACAGCAATAATTAATTCCCCAAAGAATTTCTCATAGAACAAGTTGCAACATGATCAGTTAATCCTCCAGTCGCTAGAGGATGGTGGTACTTCTTCCCTCAGAGAGACGGAAGTATCTCCTCAGGGAGGAGACACTGGGTCATTTGTTGAACACATTTACTGTCCAAAACCAGAAAGCTTTCTAGATTCATCAAATAAAAGTCGGCAGTCTGGAAATCAGAACATCCGCGTTCCAGCCCTAGGATGAACTTCGATAAGCCACAGCTGCTCTGGGCCCTGCTTTCCATGTGTATAAAATAAAGCTGCAGGAATATATAATTTCTATGGTCTCTTTCTAGACTGAAAGTTCCATAACAGAAATAAATGATCTGAGAATTTAATTGATTTTGGTGCTTTCTTTCTTCCTTTTCTTTTTGGTTGTTGTTGTTTATTTGGTTTGTAGGCTAAACTAGAGCTATTTATCTTGAAAAATAGTGCATACTTTTCTGAGATAAGAGGCATTTCTTCTCTATGGTATTTTCCCACAGTGTAACCTTCCTTCTCTTTTCATTTGCCACTAGGAGGTGGGTCTCGCTGATTCTTCCTGGCTCATTAAGAAGAAACAGAAAGATCCTGTGTTTTGAGAGACTCTTTCTGGATCACTTCCCATGATCACAGGACTTTGCAATCCATTTGGCAAAGGTGGTGGTGACAATGGGGTGTTTGGCAAAGTGGATGAGGTGGTTGACGAAGCAGCCGGGGTAAAGAAAAATGCTCTTGACAAAACGTCATGAAACAAGGGTGGAGTGTTCAAAATGGAGAACTTGCATCCCTTGCTGAGATGACTCCGAGAGAAGCTCTGTCTTTAAAGAGGTGATTTATTTAACAGGAAACAAAGGAAAAGGTATCAACAGCAATAATTTTTCTGAGCATGGAGCTGAGGAATAGCTAGTCTAATACTTTGATTGTAGCCATGTACTGAGACCTCTTTGAACAATGTAGAAGTTAAACTAGACAGGCAGGTATTTTGAAACCAGTCACTAAAATTAAAAATTACATTTAAAATTCTAAATTCGTCATCAAATATTAGATAAGAACCTAAGCTTGCATTCCACAAACCCACCCCTCAAATCAGTGTAGGTCTGAATAAAGCCTTGGGGCTAAGAGGTTATTTTTACTAAGTCAGCCCTACCCCACTTCCACCCCAAAAATATCTAAAGATGAATGCCTGAGGACCAGCATAACATCTAAATGAACCAAGTGTTAATCCTACTGTCAGTGCTCTCAAATACTTGTTAGAATTCCTTTGATGGGCCAGGCGAGGTGGCTTATGACAGTAATCCCAGCACTTTGGGAGGCCGAGGTGGGCAGATCACCTGAGATCAGGAGATGGAGACCATCCTGGCTAATATAGTAAAACCCCATCTAAAAAAAAAAAAAAAAAATTAACCAGGTGTGGTGGCAGGCACTCTTAGTTCCAGCTACTCAGGAAGCTGAGGCAGGACACAAATTTGAACCCACGAGGCGGAGGTTGCAGTGAGCCGAGATCTCGCCAGTGCACTTCAGCCTGGATGACAGAGCAAGACTGTGTTTCAAAAAAAAAAAAAAGGAAAAAAGTTCCTTTGATGTTGGCGGTCATCAGATTTCATAGAAACTTTAGGGGCCAAGCTTTCATCACTTGGCCAGGTGCCTGTGTGTGTGTGTGTGTACTTTTTGTGTTTTTTTTTTTGCTACCAGTGCTACCAGCTGTAACACTTTAATGACTCTGTGGAACACCAGGGACCACTGCTCATCAAGCACCTGGGCTAGGAAGAGTGAAAGGAATGAGTGTTTGAGAGCTTAGGACAGGTCTCTGAAGGGAGGAAGGGTTAATAACATCACATTACTAAATCTTTGCAAACTGGAAACATTTCAGAGTAATTGGTGATGTCATTTTGTTTACAAACGTGTCAAATCGTTAATGATGGTGTCACCTCACACTAAAAAAGGCAATTAAAAAAGAGAAAGAAGACTCGAAGTTTGTGTTTAGGGTGTTTTCCACGTTATCCAAATAAGAAAGTCAGTTCTACCAGGTCTCAAAACTATGAAACTAATGTTACACGTCATAAAGTCTTACAAATGAGTACTTATGCTAGGTTTTTTGTTTTATTTTTTTTGAGATGGGGTCTTGCTCTGTCACCCAGGCTGGAGTACAGTGGCACGATCTCAGCTCACTGCAACCTCCGCCTCCCAGGTTCAAGCGATTCTCCTGCCTCAGCCTCCCAAGTAGCTGGAACTACAGGTGCCCGCCACCACGCCCAGCTAATTTTTTGTATTTTTAGTAGAGACAAGGTTTCACTGTGTTAGCCAGGATGGTCTCGATCTCCTGACCTCGTGATCTGCCCGCCTTGCCCTCCCAAAGTGCTAGAATTATTGGCATGAGCCACCGCACCTGACCATTCATTATGCTAGTTTTTCTTCTCTTTTCCTATTTTTTAAAGAAAAAAGACATTCATCTCACCCAGTAGACAGCTAAGTTATAAAGTAAATAAAACTAGTGTTCTTTCCAACGCATTAGCAATGTTTCTGATTTATAGTTGACAAGTATTTGTCCTTTCCCTGTGCTGACATGTAAGAGTTGGACTGGGCTGGGCGTGGTGGCTCTCGTCTGTAATCCCAGCACTTTGGGAGGCTGAGGCAGGTGAATCACTTAAGCCCAGGAGTTCCATAATAGCCCGGACAACATGGCGAAACCCTGTCTCTACAAAATATGCAAAAATTAACCAAGCATGTTGGTGCACACCTGTAGTCCCAGCTACTTGGGAGGCTAAAGTGGGAGGATCATCTGAGCCCAGCAAGGTCAAAGCTGCAGTGAGCCGAGACTGTGTCACTACACTGCAACCTAGGAAACAGAGTGAGATCCTGTCCCCCCCCCCAAAAAAAAAGATTGGATTATCTTGTAGCACAAGTGAGCCTTAAGAGGCTGGTAGATAAAGAAGGGGAAGCAGTAGCTTTCACCCCCAAAAAGTCTTCATTGGCTTAGTAGCTTGGGCCCTAATTAAAACCATCCCACCTTTATAGTTTATGTAGATTTGATACATGTATACATATTTTATACATGGATATGTGTATGTGTTCTTTTTCTCGAGACCAGATAAGCAAGATACATAGATATAGATATCCAAAATTATCAACCTGAGGATATTGTTGAAGATAGTTTTTAAAAGAAGAAAATGTAAATTTGGC